TGTAGAACACCTGGCCATGCAACATGCCATCAGACAGACTTCAGGAGGCATCTTGATGGGAGACAAATAGAGAATTTCCAAAGTGAAGCCACAGGATAAAACCAACACTTGATACTTGCCTTTCATTTCAAGGAAAGTAGCATAAAGGCAATAGAAAAAGGAAAAGGTAGTTGAAAAATATACTTGCTCTCAACAAAAGAGACTTAAAAATAAAAAATTCATGAACTTAATAATTTTCCTAAATGAAATTATACCATTATTCCTGATTTCTTTGTACTAACTAAAAGGACAAAGTATCAAAGTTCACTAAAGTTTCGACATCGTTATACATTTCATTAATCAAAGATAAAAACTACATTAAAAGCAAGAGAATTATTTTATGTCTGTGATTAGGCAGTTGGAGGGCTTATATTTCATGTATACATTTGTACACTTCAACGTATTTAACAGTGTCGGTTCACTAACTGCAGTTTTTTACATAAAGAAAATAGATTCAGAATTTGGAAAATAAATTACAGTAATTTCATGCCTACAGCCTGCACCTCTTAGAAACCCCATAACCCCTAACACTCCCCTTACTTTGCCACTACTTCCACATCTCCTCCCCATCCCTCACTAAAACCACAAACTACAAGAGTAATGGGGGGCTCAAAGCCCCAAGTGAAAAGCCACCTTAATTTTTCATGTGGAATGGAGAAATAAAGGGTGCCAATGAAAACACAGTTCCTTAAGAGGGCAAAAGCAAATGCCTACTGAGATCTGCCTAGTGCATTCTACTGTTTCCCTCAGCTCTTCATGGTTGGTACTTATTAATGCAGAAGCCACATGAAGAAACAGGGAATAATGAAGGCTCAAAGGTATATTCCTGGTAGGGGTAGCAATGGAGAAGATGAGAAAAGAGAAGACACAGGAGAGAAGGGTGGCTATACAACTGACAACAACTTCACACATTATTATAAAAACACCTTATCAAGAGGCCAAAAGGGGAACAGCAGCAGTTTCTCCATGGCTCAAACTACAGGCCTTCCATTGGCTTCAATAAGCTCCATGGCATGAAGAAGGGGCTACTCTAAGAGCTGAGTTGACACCATCTCTGCTGCACCCACAGAGCTTTCTGATTATGGAGTAAGAATGATGGGTACATGACGGGACATGTCCTAGACTGAAAGATGTCCTCTACAGATTGACATAATTCAATTGCATGAAACCTCAGAAGATGGGACTCATTAATCTGCTAGTAGAAGTTAGCAAATAATTTACTTAAACTGGATTCATAAAGCTGCCACAGTTGTGATAATATATATTTAAGTAAACAAATAACAGGGACTAAAACTGCCAAAAAATAAAGGTAAAAAGAATCTAAGCACTATAGAGGCTTGAGGTCCATGGCAGAGTGTGCACCTAGCATAGCCAAGGTCCGGAATCTGAATCCTAGCATCCAGAAAACAAATCTGTTCCTTGTGATCTTAAGTATGACCTTCACAATTGAAAACAGTCCAGTTCCCTCCCAGTATAACCAGTCTTGGCATACCAAGTGGGTCTCAGACCTATCCACACATGAAGACTTTATGACCCTTTACTGTCCTGCTATTTTGATGGAATTCAATGCTCTGCACTTCCTTCTGATAATGACATTCATTACTTTTTAAAATTTATTTATTTACTTTATATCCTGGCAACAATTTCACCCTCCCTTCCTCCCAATCCCACCCCCTCCAATCCATTCCTTCTCTGTTTCTGTTCAGGAAAGGGTAGGATATCAACAAAGGTATGGATATCAACAAAACACGGCATATTAAGTTGCAGTAAGACTAGGCACTTCCCCATGTATTAAGGCTGGGCAAGGTGACCCAGTATAAGGAGTGGGGTCCCAAAAGCCAGTAAAAGAGTCAGACACAGTCCCTGCTCCTGCTGTTAGAAGTCCTACAAGAGGACCAAGCTACACAAGTGTCACATATATACAGAGTGCCTAGGTCAGTGCCATGCAGGCTACGTGGTGGTCGGTTCAGTCTCTGTGAGCCCCCACGAGCCCAGATTAGTTGATTCTGTGGGTTTTCTTGTGGTGTCTTTGACCCATCTGGCTCCTACAATCATTTCTCTCCCTCTTCTTCAGGACTGCCCAAGCTCTGCCTAATGTTTGGCTGTGGGTCTACATCTGTTTCCATCAGTTGCTAGATGAAGTCTTTCTGATGACAATTGGCCTAGGCACCAATCTGGTCACAGGAGAGTACAAACTTGTATAACCACTCTGGAAATCAATATGGTGGTTTCTCAAAAAACTGGGAATCAATCTACCACAAAACCCAGCTATACTCCTCTTGGGCATATACACAAAGGATGCCCAGTTATACAACAGGAAACTTGCTCAACTATGTTCATAGCAGCTTTATTCATAATAGCCAGAACCTGGAAACAACCGAGATGCCCCTCAACCAAAGAATGGATAAAGAAAACATGGTACATTTACACAATAGAGGATTACTCAGGTGTAAAAAACCACGTCATCATATTTGAAGGCAAATGGATGGAACTAGAAAATTATCATCCTGAGTGAGGTAACCCAGACCCAGAAAGACAAACATGGTATGTATCCCTCATAAGTGGATATTAGCTATAAAATAAAGAATAACCATGCTACAATCCACAGACCAATAGACTAGGTAACAAAGAAGGTTCAAGGGGGAACGCCTGGATCTCCCAGGGAAGGGGAAATAGAAGAGATTTAGTGAATGGACTGTGGAGCTGGTGAGGACAGGAGCATGAGAGACCAGGTTGCAGGGGATAGAGGGGGAGAGTACTGAAAGAGCCTACTGGAAAGGGGGACATTTCAGGGTTAGGTTAAAAACCTGGCGCAAAGGAATCTCCCAGGAATCTACACAGATGACCCCAGCTAAAACTCCTAGCAATAGCAGATATATAGCCTAAAATGGTATTCATTCTAAAGGTGGGGCTTTTCCATGTGCCCTCCATTTCAGTTCCCAGTCACTGGAAAACTCAAAACAACAACAACAACAGCAGCAAGACAGTTGGCCTTTGGAGCAGGTTACTCATTATATAACGAATAAACAATCTGGAAGGACTAATAAAAAACTAAATCGCTCTGAGGTTTCGATAGGAAATGTAGAGGCACAAAGTGAAGCTGAGAGGGCATGAGGTAAAGCTCCTCATGCTTGTATATCCATATTGCCTCACTTCCAGCAAAGAACAACTTTCATAGCCTCTTAGAGCTATGCTGTTTAATTATTTATTGCTAAAAAGAAAATTTAGCATAGTGTAGACAGGAGTAGACAGCTTTAGTGTCACATAGAGCTTAGTTAAAATCCAACTATAGCCCCATACTTAACAAGTTATATGATAAAATTATCAGCTACTTCACATAAGCTTCCGCCTCTGTAAAATGGAGCTGCAATATGCTTATATGAAGCTGTCACAAAGACTGAATAAGATATGGCAAGAACTTATCACAGCAAACAGACTAAGCACTCAATGTATAACAGAAAAAAATGAGGCTAAAACATCATGCATTTATACTCTCCTCCTCCCAGCTGAGGATTTATAAACATCATCAAATACAACTCAACTTGGAGAATACATTATATGATTATTTTGGTAGCAGAATTTTATCTTCCTAATTATGTTTTGCTTAGGCAAATGTCAAAAATGAGTTTCCACTTCCAGATCAGACACTGATGGGATAGTAGGGATGGGGGTGGAGGGGTTGATCTCAGAAACACACTCAACAGGGGCAGGATGGAATATATGTGATTTGATAATGAGCTTTGGAAAATCCAATGACATGCCACAAAGACATACTGAGTACTACATACGCATAAATCCTATGGACTGAAGGAAGATGGACATATTTACACAGAAGCCTGAAAGAGGATGGCAGGTGGCTATACCACCATGTGCTGAGCACTCCCTCTGCTTCAAGCCCTGTGCTGAGCATCACACATATATCTTATCTCTCTCGGAGCAATTATATTCTATCACTCACAAAATAAATCAATGTACAGAACAAGATTCAGAGGCTTGTTGATATCAAAACCAGCATTTAAACCAGGTCCCAGTGATGCCAACATCCTGTAGCACTCCAGCTAGACATTTTAGTTAAAGTGGGGGAAGACTTTTGCAACAAGCAGAGAGAAAATGAACGGCACATTATTTAGAGAACGCACAGAGTAGGAGCGAGGTTAAAACAGGTTGGAATTAGAAAACTAGTCTGAAACTGTCAGAGCTAGAGCCAATGAGATGTCAGTAACATTAGGTGACTTGATTTATGGAGGAAGAGGTACCATCTAAGGACTTTATTAAGGAGTACTTTAAAAACATTCAGCTTTGCCTATGATAAAATAGAGCAGGGACCTTAAAAGCAACATAACTATGTTCTGGCCTCCTAGAAGTATAATGAAGAATGTTTAAAAAAACATTTTAAAGCAAAGATGGCAATAATAATGACATAGAAAAGAGGTAAAACTGCAAAAAAAATCAAAGAGGCATTGAGGTCTTAAGGTTAGCTGCCATCTCATGGGATGATGATAAATTAGGAACCAGCCAATTCCTAGAGAATAACGATGAGTCTTATTTTAGAAGAATTTAAAGTAAAAACTAAATGTTACAAAGTCACATTAACAAAATATCTTTGGACAGACAAGATGAATAAAAATGCAAAATATCATTAATGTCTTTATTAATAGAAGGTCACTAATTAGACCTTTAACAATTTAAACCCAGTGACCATATTGATACCTAAAATTCTTTCCTTCCTCTGCAATCAGTGAGTATAACCATGTATAGCAGGTACAGACTTACAAAGATTGCTATTTGTATGTGGAGCTCACATTCTGATGGGAGATAGCAACTAAACAGCTATAAAAAGCAATAAACAAAGAAGTAACAGACACAATCCTGAATCTACAAGCACAGATACTAACAGTTACAAGAGGACGATGTATGTCACTACTAAATTATGAGGGTTTCCATGTGTTTGAGACACTTACCTAGCCACACTGCAATGAGGACAGCATCAATTCCATCTATTGGCTCACAGATCCGAGCCACGACAGGGTGGATCTGCTGGGCCAAGTAGTATTGGGTGTCAATGGTTAAATTGTCTTGTTTTTGCAGCTGCTCAGGTGCATAGGCCCTCTGAGTTGCAGGGAGGTTTGACCCATCCTAACAGAAGACATGGTATAGGTCAAGTTGTGAGCAACTCAATAATCACACATACACTTGCTTAATCAAATAGAGGGACAACAGTTAAAATTTTATGTGCTCAGTTCCAAACACCAAGAAGTATTGCCCTATTGAAAATCTCACATGTATCTTAGAGTAGAAAGACCAAGAACTTTTTGATCTCAATCTTATCCATTGCCTGAAAATGTAAATCCAGTGTGTTGTGTTCTTTGTTGTCAGGATATGAACCCAATAAGTAAGGTGACACTAGCTAGATTATATAATTCTACTTGCCATGACATAAAAACACATTGAAGGACTTGTGAGAATTTGTCTACTAAGAAAGTCTTTTAAAAGGCACAAATATATAAGAATAAATAGCACTTCTTTTATTCTGTTAATACAATCACTTCCAGCCACAATTCCAGCCATAGAAACATGTTAGCACCCATCCTTGCCCCAAATGAGCAAGTGGGAAAGCTAAGGGAATAAACCCCAGTAGAAACAAAACATATATGTTAGACATAAAACAGAAGAGTAACAGTAATGCACAGTCCTGGTGGGGTGGTTAATTTTCATTGTCAACTTGATCGAGCAAAGATATACTTTGAGTATTAGTGAAACAACCCTCTTAGCATGTCTGTGAGGGTATTTCCAGAGATAATTAACTAAGGTGGGGAAAACCAGCCCTAAAAGTAAGCATCACCATGCATTGTGTTGAGGTTCAAAAGGAAAAAAAGGAGAAAGCCAGCAGAGAATCTGTTCAGTGTACCACGTTTTCTGCTTCTTGGTCTAGTGAAATGTAAATATCTTCACTCTCTGTTACCATAGAGTAAGAGGCAAGCAGTCCCATTCCCATGCCTTTCCCACTGTGATAAACATGTATCCTTTCCAACTGTGTGCCAAAATAAATCCTTTGTCCTTTGTTTCTTTCAGGTATTTTACCATGGGGACAAAAAAAGGAACTGATCTACCTTGAAAGCAGCAGTGCTCAAAAGTCAAATATCTGACCAGTAGAAGCTGTATTACTCTGCACTGTTAAGCTGGCTCCTCCTCAAGCAAATGAAGGTGGGTTAGAGACTCTTTTCAAGGGGTATTTCTTCTACACTATAAAATTAAAGTTGTGAGATTCTATGTAATTAGCCCACATACAGCTCTGTGGTGATGTCATTATCATGTGTGAACCAAAAAGTCATCATTCTACCGGACCAACATCGAATGACTCACTCCACTCTTCCTCTTGACTGAAACAACAGAATTTAATATTCAGACTAGTAAATTATAACTATTCACAGGGCTCAGCTGCTCTCCAGAACTGATTATAATGTGAATCCTATTCTTTCAATTCTGCCACAATCAGTCTCTTCTCAGCTCAGCATCAAGCTCAAAGCAGAGGCAACCTTCAATATCTTGGTCTTTAGCAGCGACCCAAAGCAAGACCTTCTCTCTCAGGTTATGTTCCTGATAGAATGCAATTGTCTTTCAACTAGGTTCTAACTGGTCTAAAGCATAATGAAATTCATAGAAAGAAAGGAAACCTCAGGTTAAAATTTGCTTATCCATATTTCACAATTTAGTAAAGAAAAACTTAGAATTAATCAGGCTTAATCATTGTCCTTTAATAAACTTGAACTGTAAGGTGAAAATGAGGCAATAGTTGCTAGCTAAGAGTTTGAAAACAAATCATTAGACTGTGTCTTCCTATGTGCTTTTAGTACCAGAAATCTGGTCAGCCTATAGAACTGTATTTTTTTTTTGTTGAGTTTTATCTTTTCTGTGGTGATACTTTATCTGTGTACCCCAATAAAGTTTATCTGAGGATCAGAGGAAAATGCCAGGCACTCTAAGAAGTCAGGCAATAGTAGAACACACCTTTAATTCTATCACTCAGAGGCAAAAATCTGTCTGGATCTCTGTGAGTTCCAGGCCACACTGGGAACAGAGCCAGGTGAAGTGGTATACACCTTCAATCCCAGCACTAACAATAAAGGTCTGGAGGTCTGTACAGACAGACAGGAAGTGACAGAGCTGGGCAGGAAGAGGAAGTGATGTAGCTGGGCAGAGAGAGGAAATGAGTTGGTAGAACAGAAAGGCATATAGGTATGGTTATACAGGAAATAGGTCTTTTTGGAAGCTGAAGGTCGGTAAGGTGAGATTGCCTTTGGCTTGTCCTATTCCTCTAATCTTTCAGAAACCCAATATCTGACTCCGGGTTTTTATTAATAAGACCATTTAGCAGTCTATCTTATACTTTTCTTTCATTATTTTCTGTTGCTGTTGAGGCTGATCTTATGTTGTCCTAGGCTGGCTTCTAGCTCAGTGCTATAGCAAAGGAGGACCTTGAACTGAGCCTATCTCTATCTTGTAAGAGCTGGGCTTACAGGCATGCACCACCACACCCAGCAAATTCTATCATATTTTAAGGGTGAATGCAAGTCAAAATTGTAGAAGTGAAGAGAATAAGGCACTGGTACATTGGAGGGAAGAGGTAAAGTGCTTGCCTACCATGCACATGGTCCTAACTTCTATCCCAAGAACTGTAAACCAAAGCAAACCAGGTGCTTGAGTTACTTTCTAGTATGTCACTACAAGTTCTCATAAAGGAATATTTGTACATTTAAAAAGCAGTGGAAAATTTCTGTGCATACTTTCTACTTAAAGCATTTTGAATCTAAAGAGCTTGTAGCTAAGAGTAACCCCAACGTGTTTACGACTGTCTTTTAAAAATCTAAGCTTGCCGGGCGGTGGTGGCGCACGCCTTTAATCCCAGCACTCGGGAGGCAGAGCCAGGTGGATCTCTGTGAGTTCGAGGCCAGCCTGGACTACCAAG